GACCATTTGATGATCCGATTAGGATAGTAGAAATTTTAGATTCGATTTATGTTAAGAAAGGCAGAGGTAGACCTAGAAAGACTTGGGCATATTGTATAAAAAATGATCTTAATTTGTTAGAATTAAATAAAATATGACACTCAATAAAACACAATGGAGAAAAAAGATTCATGTAGCCGACCCCACTTAGTGGGATAAAGGTTTGTTGTTATTGTTGTTGTTGTAATGCACTTACTTTGGTTATGCATATTACTTTATATCTTATTATGCCGAATGAGCTGTATATAAATGCTAGTAGAATATTTCATGTACACTATCATTTGCAAAAAAAAAAATAAACTTGATGCCAAGTTGATAGTGTCTCCAATTTTCGAATTTGATGCAATCTTAGAGATGGATTGCTATATAGCCTTTTTTGTAATTATAAATTGTTGTAAAAAGTGGTAAACTTAAGTTAAATAGGGCAAAATTGTAATTGTATTATTTGTAGTAGGCAAATAATGTTGTGATGGTACTTATTGGTGTGGTTATGGTGGGTAACTGTGCTCATATATAGTGGCTAGAAGGCTTGATCGAGAGATTGTGATGGAAGTTGAGAGTTCAAGGTCTTATAAAGGTGCAGTTTGACAACGGTTGGGTGTACTTTGGGGCTTTCTGAAAGGGAGTAACTGAGGTTTTCAAACCAGTGTTCAGGATTTAGGAGTGAATGTCATCCACTTGGATTGCTTTTAAAGTATGGTATGAAATGTGGTGAAAAAATTAAGTGTGGCAAGGGCTAGGTTTTGAGAGGGTGTAAGTGGGAATTCTTCACCTATGTAATTTGGCAATAGGAAGAAACCACCAAGCTGTGCAAGAGAAGGAGCAAATGCAATTTTGATTCAAGCAAAACAATATTTTTATGCATTATCAAGTCTGATAAATTTTTAAGAAATTCAATTTTATTCTTTGAAGATGAGGCTTCAAACCCAAGTTTCATAAGTAGCAAGGCTAAAAAAAATAATTTAAAAGAGGAAGCTGCGGGCCATTTTAAGTCAAATCATTTTCTAGATTGTGTGACCCCTAATTAAATTATGGGAAGAGCTTATCCATACTAGGCATTTAAAGGATGAAGAGAGGATAACCATACCTGATGTAAATGTGGTTGGATTTGCCGTAGTTATCCAAGCCACCTTACTTTGAAGGTTTCATGAAATCCTTAAAGAATTAATTTTTCCATTCACGTAAGGTGGTGGCATTATTTTAGTAATCTTATCACAAGATTATGAACCACTTGATAATGTTCTGCATCATAAAGTCTTTGAGCTAGTGGTTTTACACGCTCAAAGTGGCATGATAAAATGTTAAATGAACATTATAACACTGTGTTGAGCTTGTGGATGCTAGAACTGATCAATCCATGACCCAAATATGCTTAACCAGCCTAAATTTGTTTAGTGCAATCGTGATAGTTTTCTTTTGTTTGTGGAATCTTATCAAACACTTGTGCTCATTAATAAAGCATCTTTTATGGCCGTTGTCATTGGCCTGTCTATCAGCGGATAACTAGAAACTGACTTCTTTCACCAGTCCTCAATTGGTTATTGATGAGGAGCACACTTGCGGTTTTCATTATCACTTATGACATCATGTATCCTTGTTTGGACGTTACAAGTTGCTAAAGCTCCAATCTTCTTTTATTAGCCGTGCTTGTTAGCCAACACCATTTCATGAAAACTCTCCTCATGGTTAGAAAAATATTTCAGGAAAAAATTTTATGGACATTAATGCCTTTTCTTTTTAGATTTGAATATAATAATTCAATAGAAAATTTTATGGAGATTAATGCCTTCTCTTTTTAGATTTGAATTTAGAGGCTATAGACTAGTGGTGGTGATGATTTTTGTTAGCCTTTGCCCGAGCCAGCCCTACTCTGTTCCAGCTAGCCTAAAAAAATGAACAGTTCAATCCATATGAGCACAATTTTTTATGAGGGTGATTGCAATCTATGTCATTAGTTTTGTGTGTGAATGAAATTTGGACCATAAGTAACCAAATGAGGCATTTGCAAGTCTATAAAACTACCAAGAAAATAGTTTATAGGATAAATTTTGACGATGTTGTGGGCTTTGGAGAAAGTTATAAATCATTACTTATAATGTGTTATTGCTTGTTGCTCACACTTGATATCACTCACTAATGACATGACCACATTGTTTCAAAGACATGCTCTTACTAATTTTCATTAGAAGGCACCCCTAACATGGAGACACCTTTTATGGTCTTTGTTGAAAATGCACTATTTTGTGCTATAATTCATTAAGCATTTTGTCCGTGCTAATGTACATTTTTTTTTTTGGTGGCAGGGGGGACCGTTTGGTGCTCGAACGTGGCTTCTCAAAAATTTTCACATTGTTTCCAATCAATGTGCTGCACATTTGACCACTATCGTGCCAATATTGCCTGAGAATGTTGTGTTATCGCTTGTCATGTAGCATGAGAGCTACTATACTGGGTTCAGAAGACGATACACCTCGCCAACATAGGGTATGATGAAATGATTTTAATCTTTTTTGTATTAAAAAAATATTATATTCAAGTAATAATATAAATAACTATTTTTTTTTAATTTCATACATAAGACTCCAACTGATGCAACTGAAGGAAAAATAAAAATAATTGAAAATAAAATTGAAAGTGCAATAAAGAAAAAACTACTCGCACCGAAAAAAGAAAATGCAATAACTAATGTGAATTTGAAAATACCAAAAACAAATCTACTCATGGAAAGTTTGCTTCGATGGAGATGATCCTCCCAGTGGTTGAGTGCAAACTGCTATATAAAAATTCTACGAGCGAGTTTTACAAATCAAACTAAATAAATAATCAATATTTATTATGGCATATACAATTTATTTTATGCATAAAATTTGCAATAGGAGCATCAAATCCTTGTGTCATCATAACTGTGAGTGATTTAAATCATGCACTTCTAAGTAGATATTTACATTAAGCATTATCATGTGTGTTTATCATATAAAGTTTATCAATATTTTAGCACTACCTGATAATATATAAGTGCAGTATATGTATCTATGTATGCATGTGTGTATGTACATACGTACGTATGTACATATGTATGCATTTATTCATGCATGTACGTACGTACGTACATGTCGGTTCAGCTAGCCACAACTATGGTTTAATGTCCATATAATAATATTATATTAACAAATATATTTCATGCACTACAATGAAAGCAAAGAATATAAGTACAACATTTTCCCGAACATTTATATAAATTATGAATTTGCAATAATGATATTTAACAAATCAAGCTATAAAAAAATAATAAATATTGAAATCATGAAAAATGAGTTATTAAACATGAGTTTATGCATCAATAAAATAAGGTTAATTACATATAAAAGTCATTATGAATAAAAGTAAAATCTACTGCAAATAATATGAATGAAATTTAAAGGGTATGATTGACAAACCTACAATTAACTAGGAATACAAGTAGTAAAGATAACACCCCTAACAATGAAAATTAAATTATCCTCTAATAACTAACAACTATTTACCTCAAGATGGTAGTTATCAGATTTCAGATTTATCAATAGTTCAATTAGCAACCCTCGATGAAGTTCTAAAAAAAATTCTGCACCAACAAATATCCAACTAATTACAGATATATTAATGAGGGTATAAAGCTACTTTATTTAATAACTTCATTGTGATCTAGCTAGTCTGATAATGTTATAATTTTTCCCAATTTGATATAAAAATTCTTTAATAGTATTTTTTAACAATAATATTAATTTAAGTTAACATCAATATGATTTAAGATGAGAAATTTAAAGTTTGAGCATGATAATTTAAATTCATAAATGCTTAAAAAGTTAAGTTCATACAATTAATAAGATTGTAATAATAAGAAAGAAATAGAAGGGTACAAGAACTCACCCACAAGGATTCAAACATAGGGAGAGATGCTCGATGCCTCATGTGCAAGCTCAAGTTCATGGGGTAAAAGGGAGTTGGCGTTTGTAATAAAAGCAAAAAAAGGATGGAGGAAGGGGATTTGGTGGCTATAGGGGTGGCGGAAGAGACGAAGAGTGTGGCGGTTTGGTAGCAATTGCAGGAGAAGCCCAAATTAGAAAGTCGGTTAGCACAAAGGATAAAGGTAAATCGGGCAATTTAGGAAGGCGGCAGAGCAGATAAAGGAATAAACTGCGTGATTCGCACGATCAAGAACGGAGGCAATAGAAGAAATTAGGAGAAGAAGGAAAAGGAAATAAATAATCGTGAATTTCTTGCGATTCTGGCGAGAAGAAGCGCGATAGCGGGAGGGAAGTATTGGATCTTACAATGTATGATTACCTTTACTAGTGCTTGTGGTTGTTTTTTTCATCATTTTAATTTCCTTGATAACAACACTGCATCATTGTCCTTTATGGAGGACAACTCTTGTACTTATTTACACTACTAGTAGAGTTTTTTGCCTCGGTTAAACTCTATGATTTTTTCCTCAATTTTATTCCTTAAAAATATCTCTTTATTTGCATGCATATTCAACATTCTAGGCATTCAAATCAGCTTGCATTTCTCATACTTCTGAATTTCTTTGGCATGGGACCCTTTTTTTCAGCTTTCGAGTTTTTTTTTTTTTTTTAAATGCTGTTATGCATTTTAACTTAATTTTGTTATATCACGTTCTGGAGTAGTGGAACTGATTAAATGTTTTTGATTAGATTTAAATTGCTTTTTTTTTTTAACTTTGCAACATTTAGATTGAAAATTCATATTTGATGTTTATTATTTCTCCTTTTTCAAGTATTGTTTCAACTGTAATAGTATGTCTTTCGTTGATTGTAGTTAAATATGCTTTTACTTGCTGGTCCAGAAAGAAAAAAATGGTACTAAGTTGTCTTCCCTGGTTGATGTCAAAATAATTCTCGAGTTTCATTTTCTCAGCATTAATGAAGGCTGATGTCTTAAATGTATCTATATTTCTGCAGGTGAGCTTAAAACTTACAAACCACTTAGAAAGAACTGCTGGCCCTTTTGAATTAACATTATCTCAAGGAAGTTCCAGTTTACCAAAGTTTGTTATTATTGACGGCATCCAGAAACTGGTATGTTTTTGTCCGCATGGTTGACTGGCACATGCTGCCATCTTGTACTTGCGAGGACTTATTTTTATAAATCTTGTTAAGTGTTATTTTGAGCCACTGTTAAATGAAGTGAAATGATTGAATTGTATGAAAAATCTCTGTTTCGAATGAAGCTTGGTTCAATATTAATAACCTATTGCAATTATCCTGTTTCAAGCATGTTCTTAAATATGCTTTCTTTCTTTGCTCTCCTGCTAACTCATTGTGACAATCTTCTTCTATATGGCCAAATGAGATTTAATCATTGTCTTTCTGGTTGGCTTTTGCATCCTGAAATGAACTTCATCAGTATTCTGAATTATATTCTACTCTGATGTAAATATTCTTTTGCTTAATTCCATTTTGCATATTTACGTTCTTGTCTCTATGTTATATGAATAGTCATTTTATGTAGAATATTCAATTCCTAAACAACCTTTTTAGGATCGAAGGTATATGTGGAGGTATGTTAGGGTTAGACACGATAAATGTGCGCAGCTGCAGGCAGCTAAAATGGATGGATGAGCTGCCCTGACTACTAGTCAAACTTCTGATCGAAGGCTCAAGTTTGCAAATCTTGAAGAGCCAGCCATTGTTTTATACTACTCAGCATTGGCTGATGGGCTCAGTCACATACAAACCTTGGTCCAGCCAGTTATTAAAGTCAAGAATTGTAGAAAGTTCAAAAAAAATCTGAACATTATGTGATCCTCAAAGGCGAGTTGATCAGGAAGTCAGTAATCTTCAAGACACGAGGCGTATCCTATACACACGGGATTTTCTGTGACGAGAAAGCGGAAGCTCACTCATGCTTGGACCAAACCGGTCCAGATATTCACATGTCTGTGGAGTCGGCTCATCCCTGCGGGCCACTTCTAATTATCTTATTACTAGATATATTTATTTTTTAAATGTTTATGGTTAGTTTTTGTGTGTGTTGTATCGGGAAAGCCGCCGACATCTCTTCTTCCCTTTGAGGGCTGTATCAGAGGGTTTCAGATGGTACTTCGGTTGTATCTTGGTCTCCAGGTGGTATTTATCTTCTCTATCCTCCTTCCGCATCCTCTCCAAACCGATCCAGCCTTCCCTGCTGCAGCCACTTAAAACAGCTGTTGATGCTGTTCTTCCTGCACTTTTTGCATTCTAGCCCCCGTCCCATTCCCCCACCCCCCCCCTCTCCCTCCTCTTCCCCCCCACGCGCGCGCGCCCCGTACTGCCGTTGTTATCCCAAGTACCCAAATTTTTTCCCCGTACCATTTTGCCGCTGTTTAGGCGAGTTCTAGGCGATGGAAACAACATCTTATAGCCTGGCTATTGTTCCTGCCGCCCAAAACCGCCCCTAGCATCAGTTTTTCACTGTCCAGTCTACTTACCCTCTTGCTGCCACCCAGGACAGCAAATACCTACTGCTTCCCTGCTGTCCCGCACCTCTGCTCCACTTACCCACTTTGTTGCCATCTGCCCAAGCCCTTAAAACCGCTACTGCAACCTTATAACCGCCTTAGTCGTGTGTGTCGTGTTGCTTGTTGTTATTTCACATTTTCAAGTATGGGTGCAACTGCCTATTGGCCTTTTTAGTAATAATATTTATTTTCTTATTATGATTTGGGTTAACTTCAGTATTTATTGGTATTAGTTGCAGGATAACCCTAGTCCTATCCTAGGGTTCCTAGCATCCACCACTACTCCATCTTATCTTCACCCTTCTTTCCTACCCTACATCGCCTCTACACACCGCCTTCCACTTACTCATCCCCAAACCCTAATCATGCTGCTGGAGGCAATTGCTAGAACCTGATCAAGAGCTTACGATAGAAGAGTTACACAAAAACTCCACTGAGTGCTGCGATGGCTCGATAACGTTGAGGAAAAAAACTCATTGAGAGGTCACCAACGAGTGTGGTAGTGAGATCCGAAGAGGGGAGAGGAAGGCATACTTGTTTCCCTTCTATAGGATGATTCTAGTTGAGAAGAAGACATACCCTAGTGCTTTGTGATACATTATCTGATGCGGGGCTGCTTTCCCGTCAAGCGGGCGCAACAAGTAGCTGATCCAGCCTTCACGCTGTTTCGACAACTCCACTGAATGATACGATGGCATGATGACATTGAGGAAAGAACCCTTGGAGAGGTCACCAACTAGTGTGGTAGTGAGGTCTGAAGAGGGGAGAGGGAGGAATACCTGAATCCCTTATATAGGGATAATTTTAGTTGAGAAGAAGACATGCCTTAGTGCTTTGTGATACATTATCTAACGTGGGGCTGCATTCCCGTTGGGTGGGCACAACAAGTAGCTGATCCAGCCTTCATGCTAGCTTGGCTGATCTATTCCCCCTTATCACGCTCGCCTTCCTCTTCCCGTGTTCGTTTCACGCCCCTCCCCCCAGTGCCCTATTTTGCCGCTGCTTTCAAATCCGTTGCAATCCCCCTTCAACCGTATCTCGCCAAGGTGGTGTGTACCCCCGCTCGTCCATCCTATTCCCAAGCACCTTCCCCGACTGCTGCAACACTTATGCACCCTTCAGTAGGTTGTCCAACTTCCCGTCAGGCTTCCTCCAACAACCGCAGACACCTTTTGTTGCCTCCTAACCTTGCTTTAGTCGCAGCCTTTCCCTTTCCTGTGCCTCCTCCAACCAGCCGCAGGGCCCACAGATCCTTCCCAGCTCACTCCAGGTGTTGTACCCTCTTTTTGTACCCTCCAAATAGGCAACAATACCTTACAACCCCTCCACAATAGGTTGTCACTCCTCCAGGACCCCCTCCAGCGCCACCTCCATCCGGGCTGACCTGCTCCTGTGCCATCGTCTATCAGCCTCCAAGACTACCGTCTCCTTCGACATTGGCTAGTGATCTTTCGGCCCTCCTAGCCTCACCTTAGCGTATTTCCAGCTGTCTCTCGGGGTCGTCGCACAGGTTTCGTCACATTCCAGGACTTTCTACTTTACGCTTAGTCTATATATGCTTTTACTATTTTTTTTACTATTGGTATCGTTTTGTTTTACTGTTTTATGTGTTCTTGCTTGTTGTTTATGTGTTCTTGTTGGTGAGTAGTCATCATTGTACTCAATTTTAAATTGCAGCAATAAAATTTGTCACGTCTGATCCGTGGTTTGGGTTGACTCTGATATCATTTGACATCAAAACAAGCACAATCCTAGTCCTATCTTAGCTTTCTCTAGTATCGCCCCACCCACCTACCAACCCCCCCACACCAAAGCCACCCAAAATTTTGTCAGATTTGATTCGTGCTATGGATGCACAAGAGTTTGCAAATTATAGAGGAATTAAGTTGATGTGTCATACTTTAAAATTATGGGAGAGGGTAATTGAACATCGGTTAAGTTGTATTTCAAAGATTTCTCATAATCAATTTGGATTTATGCCGAGCAGGTCTACTATGGAAGCTATACATTTATTGAGAAGTTTGATGGAGAAGTTCAGAGATAATGTGATTTTTATTGATTTAATTTTTATTGATTTAAAGCTTATGATAAGGTTCCAAGATATATCTTTTGGAGAGTTCTTGAGAGGAAATGTGTTGATATGACTTATATTTAAGTCATTAAAGATATGTATACTTGAGCTGTTACTTGTGTTTGAACTGAAGGAGGATTGACAAAATATTTTCCTATTTCTATTGGATTACATCAGGGATCGGCTTTAAGCCCATATTTTTTTGGTTTAGTTATGGATGGTCTTACTGGACATTTATAGGAGGATGTAGCTTGGCGTATGCTTTTTGCTGATGATATCCTTCTCGTTGATAAGATGAGAGAAAAAGCTCAAGAAAAACTTGAATTATGGAGGTCTACATTGGAGTCTAAAAGCCTTCATTTGAGTATAACTAAAACCTAAAACTGAATACATGAAAACTGAATACATGGAATGTAATTTTGGTAGTAGTAGCTCAAGTGAAAAAAGTGTAACTTTGGGTGATCAAAATATTAAAAATTGTGAACGATTTTGATATCTCGCGTCTGTTGTTAAAAGCGATGGTGATATAGATGGAGATGTTAATAGTAGAATTCAAATTGGTTGGTTGAAGTGGAGGAATGCTTCGGGCCTTTTGTGTGATAGAAATGTACCGCTTAGACTGAAAGGAAAATTTTATAAGACGATGGTGAGACCTGCAATGCATTATGGCGTTGAATGTTGGTCTTTAAAAGAGAAACACAATACTAAGTAAAGTGTTGCCGTGATGAGAATGATTAGGTGAATGAGTGGCTTTACAGTTAGAAACAAAATTCAAATTGAATATATCCGTGATAGGGTTGGTGTAGCTCCTGTGACGGAAAAGATTAGAGAAGTATCTTAGATGTTTTGGTCACATTAAGCGCCAACCATATGATGATCTGATTAGAAGAGTAGATGTTTTAGATTCGACTTATGTCAAGAAAGACAGAGGTAGACCTAGGAAGACTTGGGTTTATTGTATAAAAAATGATCTTAATTTGTTAGAACTAAATGAAAATTTGACACTAAATAAGACGCAATGGAGAAAAAATGATTCATGTAGCCGACCCCACGTAGTGGAATTAAGGCTTGGTTGTTGTTGTTTTCTCTTCCTCTTCCTTTTGTTCCCTTCTTTTCTTGTCTTCTCCCTCCATCTCTCATTTCTTTTTTGAAACACTTCCGATCATGTTGTCACATCGATATACGTCAGACCCAACTCAGGAATAAATACAACAAAAAATTTGTTGTTTGTAACAACGATTGGCCGAGATGGACGACGGGACTCAAGGCGACACTACCCTCGACCGTGCATAGAGATTCCACGAGGAGACCGCGACGACAACCTAAATTCGTTTCACCGCGATGACGTCAGCGATGACAAATATCACCCACGTTGCTTTGACATCCGCTATCAAAGGAAACCACGAGAGGAGCCCACGTTTGACACTCATCTGGATTTCGTCATCAAAGGGGACCTACCGAAATTCGACTGAAGCATGGCCTCGACAACTTTATCGACTGTTTGCAAG